ATGTAGAATCATTTGGCTTAAACATCTGAGTAAACAGAAATGGTAATCACAGATCATCCTGCTTTTGACAGCCTTCCTGGAAAGGGGACAATCCCTCACTTTAACAAGCAATTCTCTTTGCTGCCACAGTCATACACTATTTTGATATCAAATGAAAGAAAAACAATGTAGATGAGAACAAACATGATTTATATTCCATTTGTTTCAGAGCTGATACAGTATCTTTGTTTGATGTGTCTTCATAAAATTACTTCTGAAAATAACATAAATCACTTTTCCCCATGCTGTTTTGTTTTCTCATGATGATTCGCAGTGTACTGTACTACTACATGTAGCTTAAGAATTTTAAGTGATACACTGAATTCTGTTGGAAAAGCAGGATGTTATACAAACTGTAAGAAGAATAATAAGAATTACTTTCTGGTTACAGCAACCATTTGTTTTTCGAAAATCCCCTGAAATTAGACAACTTCATCCGGAATGCTTGCTGAATCTAGCTAACCATTTTCTTCATATAGGTTATTAAAGGAAAATTATTACTGCTAATTCACCTATGAAGATAACAATATTTGGAGATCCAGAGAGGAGCTTCTCACCAAAAGGTGACTGCCTGATAAACATCTTAGTTCGGGATGTAGCTATTAAAAAATTATGTGAAGTCCTATTTACTAAAAAATTTAAATTGAAGTAGTAGCACTGTGCAGGCATTTGATTGTTATAAATCTACTCCTTTTTCCTTCAAAACCCAACCAAAGTACCTGAATTGGACTGAAATTGGGAGTATTTTTGATTCAGAAAATTTATCTTCACAATGAAGCTCTATAAAACACTTTTAATAAGTAGATTTGTATTTTAAAATGTCCCTGTAGAAGACAGTGAAAATCAACCAAAAAAAAAAAAAAAAGTGCAAGTCAGTTATTTTTCTTTCTTCATAAAAACATGGTAAGAAAAAAAATCAGTCTTAGAGTTTCTTTTAAGTGAAAAAGGAAAATTGTTTTTTAAATAAACATGAGATAATCCTGAAATAAAATTGAATGACTGCCTACTAGCCACACTGTTATACGCTATAAGAACTACAAAGCAACAAAAAAAAGCAAAAATCTTTTTTTTTTTTCCATCTTTGTCTTAGGTAAATATTCATGTCTGGGACACCTGGAAATGGAAAATCCCAAATAAAACTCAACTTTTGAGGCATTTTCAAAGAATAAACATTTTAGAATAAAAATTTTAGAAGAATCATTGCAATTAAAATGAAGTTGCTTACATTTATACAGAGACAAATACATAAAAAATACAAACACAGAGGCATCATTACTTCCTAAAGCTTCTCCCAGAGGAGTGGAATAAGTGGCCTGAAAAATTAGAGGAGGTACCACAATTCCTGGGGAGGGTGCATGTGAATTCTGTTTCATGGAACATCTTTTTTTGTACTTTTAGTTAATATTTTATAAATTAATATATCCTTTGATGTGTGAGTAAAATACCTAATACACAGCTGCTCCCAAGTCCTAAAAATACAATCAATATACATCAGAAAGGACCAGCTCTATCTTTCTCAAGGTACGCGAGTAAAAGCAGTGGTGTTACCCGTATACGTGAAGAAAGTGGGATTTGACCCAAAACTGCTAAATAGTGTTGTAGTTTTATCTTCAGAAATTAATACTTCTTAATATAATGGTTTGGCTAACACAATTTAAAAAAAAAATCTTGACATTTTCCTTAGAGGGATGTTTATTTGAGTGATCAAAACGTGCTGATGAGAGTGTGTTGTGGTTTAACCCCAGCCAGCAACCAAGCCCCACACAGCCGCTCGCACACTCCCCCCTGGTGGGATGGGGGAGAGAACTGGAAGAGTAAAAGTGAGAGAACTCATGGGCTGAGATAAAGGCAGTTTAATAATTGGAAAAAAAAATAATAAATGCAAAGGCAAACAATAAAAAAAATTAAAATAACAAAGAAAAAGAAATAAAACCCAAGAAAGACAAGTGATGCAAATGAAAACAATTGCTCTCCAACTGACTGATGCTCGGCAGCCCCCGAGCAACCTCACCTCTAAGACAAGTGATGCAAATGAAAACAATTGCTCTCTAACTGACTGATGCTCGGCAGCCCCCCAAGTAACCTCACATCTAGTTTTATTGCTGAGCATAACATCATATGGTGTGGGATATCCCTGTGGTCAGTTGGGGTCAGCTGTCGCAGCTGTGCCCCCTCCCTGCTCGCTGGTGGGGTGGGGTGAGAGGCAGGGAAGGCCCTGGCTCTGTGCGCTGCTCAGTAGGAACGAAAGCATCCCTGTGATACCGACCCTGTTCTCAGCACAAACCCAAAACAGAGCCCTGTACCAGCTACTGTGAAGAAAATTAACTCCATCCCAGCCAAAAACAGCACAGAGGGGCAAAGTTTAATACAATGCCTGGTACTGAAGGAGTTTTCAGATGAGGAAGCTTTTTGATTTGTCCGTGAATAAGATGATGAAAAAAATGGATAGAAGAATTTCTGCAGGCTCGTAAAATGAGAAATAAAGCCAGAAAATTAATAGCTCACTAAAAAAGAAACTGTTTTCCCTTAATGATTAAAGTCAATTAATACCACACTAAAATTGGGTATGTACACGAAGGAGAAACTGACAAATACACTTAGGAGTCTCAAAATCCAGCTGCAGATCGCATCAGATCCACCTGTTAACAAGTGAGAATATGGATGCTGACTGTCTGCTTCCTGCAGCTCTTGTCTATGTAAATCCATTTGCACGGATTACCTAGTATTTTTAAGATAAGAAGCTATAAAATAAACAGTGTGGCTAAACCACTGAAGAGAGCTGTATGTTTTCCCAAACAAATAGTTAACCGGTGAACAAAAGCAGTGCATTCATCAGAAATTAATGCCAATACCTGAATAAATAAGACATTCAAAGTAAGATTTAATCAGATCATGATTTTATATTACTCTGTTAAAATGGTTATAAATAGTAGTTAAAATGGTTATAAATAGTAGCAGTGAAAAAAGTATTAAGTACCCTGAATGCTACATGTGCATCACTGAGTAGTGGCCCCTCTATTTCAACGATATTCATGCTCGTTTCTCCACCAATCAGCTGTACACCGGCTTCAATACTTTCAGAGTTCTGACACGCCGCACTCTCTCCTGGATTTAATGCTTTTGCAAGAGTATCAAATGCCCTGTAAGATCACAACAAACAAACAAAAAAGAAAATAAAATTTCATTTTAGAGACTGTTTCAATTTAGGAGGAACCTGCACATGTCTGGAACCTGTATTTAGATGTCTGTTTCAAAGAACCAGATTTGGAAAATAGAAGTCAGTAGCGTGCTTTTCCTGACACTTCACCGAACAAAATCCCTGAAAACTCCAACTTGCAGCAGCTCTGAAACAAAAATTAGCAGCAGATCCTGTTCACACTAGTTGCCAACAAATTCACAGTTTTGACATATTGATTGTGCTGCTGAATCACAGTTTGCCTTTCAAGATCTCTTTAGTGATGTTTACCAAAGAGTGCTGGCATGAGCATTTTGAGGACATGATCATCAGACCGCTGTTAAAGCAACTTAATGCATGTATAAATTTTACAGATTTTTGCTGCTATGAAGCACAAACAGAATAAGCTTTTTTTTTTAAAAAAAGTAACGAGTTGTGGTTAGGTTATTCAACTTCATTTGAAAAGACTGTTTTGAAATATATAAGAGAAAGCATCCTCATCCTTTCAATACCACCCTTAGTATCCTTTGATGTGGGGCAGCGACTCCTGTCACGTGCACAAATGTTACAGGGCAGGTGTCAGGACAAGCACAGCTATATTACTCATTATTCTGCTGCTTGTTAACAGATCTGTTGTTTTTCTGTTCACAAATACACCTGAGAACCAAACTGATACTATCTTCAATCAAAAATATACAGACTTGATCACTGCGTACAGACAGATGATGTATCCTGAGAGCAGTATCATCTGCATACAGTGTTGCCTGGAAAGCTTATGCACTGAGGTCTGAAAACTTTACAAAAGCTGATTATCAGCTTGTATGTAGAGCTGATTCTCAATTTACAGAGACCACAGAATTGAAAATCACTGATTTAATGCCAAAGTCTGGAGCAGAACTTTGCCACCTTCTCTTCCTCCCTACTCCCTAGCTATCCACATTCATTAACATGCTAAAAAAAAAAATCTAAATGTTTACTGTGGTTGGCATAACCATTTACAACCAAATGAAACTTCACAGTAAAAGAGCTGCTGATACTGCCTCAGGCTTCAGATGGTAAATGAACTAGTTTTTGGTCCTACACTAGTCTGTATACCTTGATGTGTACACATGAGGCTGACTGGGGCAAGCACAAGTGGACTACACAGATATACCTGGGACGTTTTCTGTCTCCAGTATACAGAAGGTAGGCATAAAGGGAATGCATTCATGGCTAAGCTCTAGAAGTTATCATACTGGACTCCAGCTAGATCTGAGTTTCAGGTCCTGTGTGGCTCCCTCTTGGCAGCCTTTGTTAGAATAGGCAAACCCAGCAGCTCAGTCACAGCTGCTTCTTAGGAAAAATAGGACCTCTGCAGGGCTCTTTATGTAGCAGTGACAGAAATGTAAGAGAGGAACAAGATCTCTTCTTTCCCCAAAAGGTAAATGTCATACGCATCTGCCACGATGCTGTGTTTACTCTAGTGTAGGCTGAAGAGTCCTTTTTAAATAGCGTGGACAAGTACACTGGTTAACCGTGCCTGCCCATGATCCTTTGTTTCCAACTTATTCTTTGGTGTTTGCTTTCAAAGAAATCTTCTCCCTCCTATCTCATCAACTGGGTCTAGTAAGCCAGCAGAAGCCAGCAGCTTTGCTTCCTCATGGCACAGCACTGTGGGTCCTTTCATACATGAAGCCCCAACACGAGCAATGCTTGCAAGGTGAAACACCAAGGAAATGAGAATCTAGAACAAAGCTTGCCTGGAAGCTATGAAGACCTAGCCCACAAAGTGAGGAAAAAAAGGTATAATTAACATTAAAGTACATAGTATTGACATCCTTTGCCAGAAATGACCTTGGTTCTCTTTTTATTTGGCTTAGTCACTAACAGATATATAAGACTGCTGATAAACTGTAAAATATGAGCATAGATAATGAAGCCATTAGAGGATAAGGCATATAACATTACAATATAAAAGCAGTGGAATGCTGGCAAAGTTGTACACGAAATTTGTCCCAGCAAAAGTGAAAGCTTAAATACTGTAGCTGCAAGCAATGGAATATAATAAAATACATGAAAACACGGATGGATAAAACTTGCTTCCTGAAATCTCTTAAACTGCTTTTCTTCAGTAAACATCTGTGCCTGTTAGATCAAGCTGGCACAGGGCCTGGCAAGAAAAATCAAAGGTTTAGTTAAAAATTTTAATTTCTACTTGGGTAACAACTTCCCTTTCACAGGAATATTTAACTTGAACCTCCCCACTGGAAATCTATTAGGTAACCTACTGGACAAGAATATGCATTAAGCTGAATCAGAGCTCTTTCAAGCTCTCTGAGAGAACTTGATGCATTTTCATAAACAGATTTTTAAAACTGAACAGAAACACTGACATTGGTAAAAGCAAGCATCTGAAAATGCCAGGAAGCAAAGAAATGAGAGATTACTACATCTTTTTGAACAGCCATAGTATTGAATGAAGTTTATCAGCACGTACTACAATACTATTTACACAGCATGTTCTTATATTCTTTACCGAGGAGGACACAGCAAAAGCCCAAATCAGCACCTATATAAAGTCACAATGATTTTCTAAGCAGCATATAAAGACATGAGCAGAACAATGCATTTCTGTTTGCAATTGCTTTGTATAAGCAGTAGAGACCATAAGGGAAATCCTCAACTTCAGTGACTACAAACTACTTCACTGTATACCAATCTTTCTTTCCTTGATGGATTTACTCCACATACACATTTGCAAAACCGCACGTACAATGTAGATGGTGCATAAAGGAATATTGCTGGGACAGCTGTCGGAAGCTTGCATGAGATGACAACCAAGGAAGAACATGATTGTGATTGACAGAATATTCTGTGTAGTACGTACTCAGTTATCTTACACATATGCCCACCAAAATGGCTCAGTTAAAACCAACACAAGACACAAGTCTGTAAGCTATTCAATGAATGTATTTGTATTGATGGTGAGAATTCTGACTTCTCCTGTGTAGAAAGAAAATGCTTTTCAAGCGACTAATAGATACAGGCATTAAACTACTTACACATATTAGATCTCTTAAGAAACAGTTTTCCAGGATGATACAAAGTATTAAGTACTAAGACGACAGTACAAGACCTAACACTTGTTATTAAGGCCAACCAAAAGGGAAGAAAATCAGCTCTAACATTTACATTGAAATTCATTTTAAGTACAAACAACTAAGAGACTTTATTTCTCAAATGGAGCTTCCTTATAATTTCACCTGGAAGAATCCTACAAGATTGTTCTCATGCTCTACAGGAGCTTAGGCTGTTACTACTATTATTTTTAATGCAAATAGATTTCCTACACGGTGCTGATTTACTTAATAGTCTGAATTGGCAGACACTTCTTGAAAAGAATAGTATTTTCAAGTGTAACATGCCTTACCTTGTAACATCACTGCTAGCTTGTTCTTCTTGCTGGAGTTCAGATAATGATGCATCTCCATTACTCAAACTCTCAATCATAGATAGCTCTGTACTGCTTTGTGACATGTCTTTGCATTTACTGAGATTTGCTAATGAAGTCACGACGTTTGCCAGAGTACTTAAATCTCCCTGACATGCTTCAACCTAAGGGAAAAGTATAGCTTTTAATTCTCTCATATTGGCAGCAGTTAACTTGCAATAGAAGAATCTTAACTTTTACATAAATGAAGAATCGAGCATGTGAATAAGCCTGTAAGAAAATTATTGTTTTCAGTAAATGGGCAATCATAAGGCAGCAATTAGACACTGCACTGCTTCTAAAATATGAAATATTTAGACATTTACTTTTTACAAGTAATAGCTTTGTATTTCTTTCAGAAAGAATGCTACAGTTAGTAAGCAAGTGCAGAAAGATAATTTATCATCTCCACTCACTAGTCATTCACCAGGACTAGATTAGACTGGACTAGATTACGTTTTTAGCATCTTCCTTCCTTCCTCGTGTACATGAGTCAGTAGTAGTAGGGTAGGAGAATGTGTGAAAAGAAGGAATGGATAAAAAGTCACCTTTAAAAGCAAGCAGAAAAAGAAGTCTGCTGCAGCCTTTTTGGTTTTTATGTCTTTAACTGCAAGGGAACAAGGTGATTCAGTACTGACCAGCAACTCAGGCAGCAAGACATATTTCTCACCCTGCTGCCCCCCGCCCGCCCCCCAAATTAATAAGGGAAGTGCATGATTACAGATGAATATGCTGCTGCTAACACAAGCACACTACATGTCATCTAGCTTGCGTTGTCATACTCTACAGACAGAGCCACGGAAAGTGAAATGGGATAAACAACTTTTGATTGGGCCCTTTGCAGAGTGAGGCAAAAATGCATGAAAACAGTATGAGGTAATTTAGTATCAGCCAGAAAAATACAAAAGCTTCCTACTGTGCACGCATAGGGAAGTTACCACATGGCTTTAGTGGATCAGTAAGTGTAAGAAAATGGAAACAAAGGAAAACCAGCTCAGAAATAAGATTGTTGCTGAGATAGTTCATATTAGCTTTGCAAAAAAATTAGTGATTCAGGGGAGAAAAACCCTAACAGTATTCATGAAATGCACTGTGATAATGCCATGTGAAGTTTTGCAAACACCTCACTTTATTGGTACAAAAGAAATATCCAAGTGTCAGGATTGCCCAATACAAAGAAAAATAATGCAGCCCTTAAAGGTCTCTAAAAACACAGAGGAGGGCATTTACTTTGTAGAGTATTTAGCATTTTTACTATGCAAGGCTAAAAGCATTCTTGTGAAGAAAAGGCATTTGCAACACTGACTAACATTGTAAAGGAGTGTTTTAACAATTAATTTAACAAAACAGAAGTACAACAAAACAGAACACCCTTCCCTCACTACATACACAATTACAGCGATCAACTCTACTTAATAGATCAGTCATATCGTTACATACCTTATCCGGAGTCATCAGCACAGCAGGCTCACTTTTTATTGCAGACTGATGAATGTTAACAAACATTCCCGATTCCAGAAGGCCCGTTGATCTGACACAGAACAGCAAACATTTTAATTTTGATTAATTTTAAAATCAATTTTCCCTGCTTCAAGAAACAGAGATAGCTGCTTCTGAGTAGAATTTACATACCTTGCTGTTTCATTGTCTGTTACAAAAGTTGGAGTTGCAGCTAGTGGACTACGAAGATCTTTCCGAATGTAGATCTTTTCTGTAGAAGCCGCACAGTTTGAAGATTTTTCTCTTGACACTTCGATAGGTTTCCTCTCACACTGCACAGCTAACAAAATAATATGTAACTAGTAAGTCACATCCCAAACTACAGACTAAGAAATAATCCTTTTTTCCCCCCCTTCTATTTAATCTGCAATTTTAATAATGATTCTGAAAATAGCTAACTTAAATAAAAAAAATCAAAAAAATCCCATAACCAATAAGCTAACAACTGGGGTAAAAAACAAGACACCGTTTTGATTTGTTCCTAATGAAATGATGTAGTAGACGAAGTCTGAGACCAAACATAGAGACACTAGATTTTTCAAGTTACAATGAAGGGAGAAATCCACTTATACCTTATTTTTTATTTGGATCTAAGTTGAGACTTACAGCTTCTCATTCTCTCAATTTCACTATCCCACACTCTCAATTAATTTGTAAAGGACTCATGGAACCCTTTTCCATGGATCGTGGGTCTGTGTTGAACCTACTTAACTTTATGCACTTAAAGAAGCTTCTGAAGTTAGGACCTTAGACAATACAGAGGGAAAAGGACATTCACAAAGTTCAGTTCATACCATTTAAGATCTGGGCAACATCCTGACCCACAATCACTGACTTCAAAGAAGCAGCAGATTTTAAATTTGAATAGCTCAGTGAAACTAGGTGGAATGAATCTGGGCTTTAGCCTACAGATACATCACCTTGCTTTGGATGAATCAGAGAACATTAAAATGAAACTTAGAGTACTATACCGTATGGGGAACTCTCTAGCTCTATGAAATAAGCTAAAAGAAACCAGTTTACAGTTTGATTTTAAAAGTTGAAAAGGAAAATTTAATTTCTGGAAAAATAACATAACATTACTGTTACAGTAAGCTTAATTAATAAAAGGTATTCACAAAGTACAAATATTTTAAAAATATGCAGTAAGTTTTTCCACAATTTTAAAGTCGTGCAAGTAATTTTATAGATTGGAATAAGATCCTGAAAGAGGGTCACAAACCAGGGCTATACATAATTTAAAATATGCATCAATTCACCAGCCTGATAAGACTGACTGCTGGCTAGCAGAGCCTCTTTAATACTGTACTGCACATGGAAACTGTTTAAGCCTGTGAAGAGAATCCTGAATGTCCATTATTTTAAAACACAAGGAAAACAGGAAAAAAAAGCTAACTGTGTTTTCTTCAGTTATGCAGTTTTGGAAAATGTGTAACTAAAGAAAAAAGTTTAAAAGCTTTCAAGTTAGTAGTAGAGTGTGATGCTATTGGAATTTTTACATTGGTAAGTATCATAAAACCCAATGTCCTAGTATCATCAAGCACTGACAATGCCATTAAAGCTAGCCCCTAACTCACAAACGGTGCTTTGAAGGGGTGGGAGGGAGATGGAGGCAATAGTTTTTTATATTCCTTTGCTAACCCTGTGCTTGCTAGCTGGACCTGAGTTGGCTGAGAAAGGGCCCAGACTTCTTCGAGGGATAAATAACCCCACTGAGAGAGCTACAGTACAAGACGGTGCTGAATTTTGTCTCCTCTCCCCACTCCACTGAGGAATGAAACTTCTTATCCCCAAACAATCCTCTCCTCCGCTCAGTATTCCCCCACAACGCAGAGATCCTTTTCCTACCTTCTGACCCCTAACCCCAGTGATTTTGTTCTGCTTGAAAAATCTTGGGGAGGGGAGCAAAGCACTGCCAGCTGAACTAGAGGGTAAAGGGGTAAAGATCCACTTTCACCTCCCCAGCTTTTCCTCCCTTTCTGAATTAATTTCCCCCATGCTGGAAACGTGTTGCTGGTTTCTGCGGACAGAAGCAGGGCTCTAAGGAGGGGAGTTGTCCACAGAGGTTCAAAGAGGGTCCGCAAAACAGAGCTGGATGGCAGAGAGCAGAGCACATGACTAATACTGTGCTTATAGCAACAGTGTGGCAGTATTGGCGCTGAAGAATTCATCTTTTGCTTGATTTTCTGCGTATTTAGTATTCTGATACTGTGGTGGTATTACAGTATCACTATGCCCCATGTATAGAAATCTAAAAAGGAACTTGAAATCTATAGGAATCAGTAAGAACTGATCTCTAGATCACTATGGATCTCTGTACTGTGAATGAATGCGTTGTCTCTGCAGAGCTTTGCCAAGAGTGAACAGCAATTGCCAGCAACCTCAGTTGTAGACAAAGTGACAAGAAGGTAGAAGGATTCAAAACATTCATTAGCTTCATTTACACATAGGAAAAATTGAGCTGCATATATAAAAACCAAACATGAAGACATGCTTGATGTTTGCCACCTAACAAGTCATTCACTTTTACCACATGCAAAGGGCTTAATAAGTTGTCAAGCAATATGTATGCTTGAAAACATTTCAGACATCTGATACACCAAACTTGCACAAGTCTTCAAAGGAAAGAGATACAATTATTTAAAAACATAAAATCAAGATAATAATTCGTATTAATATACTGCATATATTTTGTAGCACAAACTTTAACACAGCTGCCAGCTAAAATAATTTACACTTAATCAGACTTACAATCTTGTTTCATCCCAAATGCGATGCATCTCTGCAGCCTACAGTACTGACATCGATTCCGGTGGTGTTTGTTAATGACACAGTCTTTTGTTCCTCGGCACGAATAAACTAAATTCTTCCGTATACTCCTTTTAAAGAATCCTTTGCATCCCTCACAAGTTACTGCTCCATAGTGACGCCCTAGTTACAGAACGACATAAATCGTGACATTAATTTTACACTGTAATACTATTTTTTTTAGAGTTTGTATTTATTAAAAACAAAGGATTTGCTATTTTACCCAGAAAAATAACACTTTTTTTCCCCATAGGTTACAGATCTTAAAGTATACTGTGGCTATAAAACAACATAAAAAAGCAAGTGAGCCATTTTTCTAGTTCAAAGCACTTAAACAGGACAGACTTTACAAATAGACAAGTTGCTTATTAAATTCTTGCTGAGGCTGTTGACAGCAGTGTTAAAAAAAGCTAGGAAAACAGGTTAGCAAGAACATAGAAGATATTCTTTTAATTTATACATTCTTTAGCAATTTTTTAAAAATCCCCACAGTCAAGCCCTGTTATTGCTCATTACAAATTCAGTTGTTGAAATTATATGCATGAAATCTAATGGAACCATGGAAAGCACAAACATGGCATTTGACAGCAGTAGGTAATCACTTCGAAGCTTTACTTTCACCTTTCAGGGTAATGGTACATCCTTAAGTTCTTTCAGTAAAATTTCAATGAGAGAATCTAAAACAGCTAAATAATTTTTTAATAAAATCAGTTCTTCTGTGAATTTTCTAATATATAATACTAACATATAAAAATTCCTAGGATATACTACACAAACACATCGAGTTTAACAATTATTTTTCAGAAGCAAATTGTTTTGATTCTGCTATAGCACAAAATAAAAATATTACTAAAAAGTACTGGTTTTGATTAAGGCATGCTTGGCAAGTCCAACAACGTTAATTCTATGATCCTGAAGAAAAAAAAAAAAAATTCTAAACCCAGAGATCACTGACACTCAAAATACATACTGCTGAGGCACCAAGGCTGCTCTTTGAACTAAGTAGGGCATATTACAGAAATAAATCTCGAATATGAACTAATGTAAGGGAAAATGTATTTTTAGATTCTTTCCTCACTCCTCACAAACTTTTTTTTAAGAGACACCAATCTTGCCTGCCTGAAGTTTCTAGAAATTCTGATAGGTTTTCTAGATTCCTTTATCGCAACTGTATTACCACATTATTAAAATGTGAAATATCTATGAAAATGTATTTTATATTAAAAGAACATCATTGGAAGTAACATTTTAACAGCAGCTGGATTGTGAATACTTCTTTCCAAATTGCCTGGGCTGCTGCTTCACCTGCTCTTTGATGTAGCTTCTTGGACTTCAGCTTGGAGGTGACTGTAGAGCAGTTTGCATGACACTGCTTGTCACAGGAGGCTCTCCAGAACCTGCAGCAGCTCAGGGAAACCTGGCACTCTCCTCAAATTCACTACCAGTGCTTGACAACCCTGGGTCAGGACAGAAGGACCATCTCCTGGGATCTCTAGCCTCTCAAGGAATACTTCACCCCTCTACTGGGGAGCCAGAGCAATCTTGCAATTGGAACAGACTAACCAAATCTTTGCATTATGTTTGGCAGAAATTTCCTTTGAGATGGGTGAAATCTGGCACATATTTAGAGCTCTAGAAACTAAAATTTTTATGCTAAACTTTGCTGCAGTACAAAATTATTAATTGATTTTATTTTCTAGGCAGCTTGCTCTAAATCCTACTACTTCTCATGATAATATCCTAACACTAATTGCTTCTTCCTCCGGGCCTCCCATTTTTATATACTTTATTTCTATTGCTTCCCAAAAGGAGCATTTAACTGCAGCTGTCGTATTCTGATATTACTGGAGGTCCATCACATGGACTTCATACTGACAAACCATAAGAATTTTCTGACGGAGCAACCATTTACCTACATAGTCTAATTTTAGCTAACTAAGTAAAGAGCAAAGTTAAATATCTCATATTTCTTACACTCCATTATCTTCTGTAACAAAGAAAGTGCAAAGAAAAAGGAGCTTTCAGCTGAACCATGCTGAGGAACAGCCCTTGTAGTTCTCTCTCTCTCTTTTTTAAACATTAAATAAAAAAGGCAAGTCACCCTCTCAGTAATTCCACCTCTGACAGATCTGGAACACCTGGTGGCAGGCACACGTGCAAAGGAATGGAGGAGACAGAGCTCTCCAGCGCACTGCTCCTCCTAGTTTTCTTTCCAGTCTCTTAATATCATTACACAAAATTTAGTGCACGAAAGATTTTTCTTTTCTTACCTTAGCACTCTACTTTGGTGGCAATATATGAGTATACTATTCCTATTATTTTTTACTGGAACTATAATGCATTTTTACAATTTTGGCAATGGTTCTTCAAATAACTAACTGTCCTGCATAAATCTCACATTAGCACTTTTTTCATATACTCCCTTGTCTACTGGTTTTATATTTAATGAACGGGTTTTTCGTATATTTTAAGAGAACCTGTCAACAATAATGAAGTTCACCACATGGCCTTATTTTAAGAAAAAAAAACCCTCTCAACATTGTCGCTTAAGTAATTTTATCAACCAAATTTTTATAACAGAAAATTAAATTTATCAGCCTAAGAAAAAAAGGCAAAAATTATCTGGTAGAAAACATTCTATTTATGACACAAACCAACAATAAGTAAGTCCACCCATGGACACTAGAGTAACAGTTAGTGTAATTCTCCACTGAAAGAGTAATACATTCTTTCAGTTTGTATATGTATGTATATATGAGTATATGCATGCAAACTTATATAGCTTTGGAAGAATTTTAAACCGCTTTTATAAAATTGCACCAGCTTAAAAAGAAAAAAAAAAAAAAAAAAGAAAGAAAGAAAAAAGTAAATACCTGATGCCTTGTCTCCACATACAACACACAGATCAAACACTTTATTTAGGCCCTGTTCATTGGGAGAGTTGTCTGTTAAAATCTGGAAAAAGAAAGTGCAAGAATTTAATTTTTATTTTTCTTACTGTCAAGAAAGATTAAAATAAATCAAAGTATGAGGTTTTCTTGACTATATTTTACAGTCTTCATAGACACGAAGGAGCTACCTGCCATGCCACTGAGCTCCTTTTTAGGATGGAACCGAAGTTTTACTTGTAATACTTCTGAAAAGACTTCAGGTTTTCATTTATCTAAATACTACCTCCGCAGAACAGACTGACATTTTGAAAAACATTTAGTGTCTGCACACTCTTACCTTTTGTTCGACTTTGTATTTATACCTTAATGACTTGTTCATAGTATAAAAGAGACATTGGTATTAAACAGATGGAACACAAGAAAGCCAACCTTGTAAAGGTTGTAAAATATCTACCTTCAGATTTATTAACTTTTTAAATAATAAATATAAATGGTGGACCAGCAGAAAATGTACTCTGGACACTATTAAGTGGTATATAGTTTGGCTTTCAGTAACAGTTTGACATTATTAAAGTACTCTGGCCTTGTCTCATTCATTTATCTCTGGTACCTGTAAACTTTATTAAGCACACATTATCAGAACCCCAGCACTACAGGGCAGGTGCTATAGCCTTCCATTTGATCTTAAAAAACTCTATCCTATTGCGACATAAATAAAGCACAGCAAAAAATGTAAAAAAGGAACACACATGATCACGAGTAACAACCAAGCATCATCTTGACAATAATCAAGTGGAAAAACCCAAACTATTCTTCCCATTAAAAAGAGATTATAATTTAGAAGTTTTAAGAGTTTCTAACTTCTACTGTGTCTTAACGGGAAGTCAGACTCTCATTCTTGCTTTGCATATTCAAAACAGGACCACCGATAGAAAGAAAGATAAGATACTGAAACAAAGTACCCTATCTTCTATAGAGAAAATTAAGAAATCACTTTTTCTTGAAAGTTTGGAAGATAATACAGACGATGTATACAGGAATATTTAACAGGCATGCTTCTTTCTAGTTAGCCTTTGTTAACAATACCGTCTCAAAGATTCATCTATTAAATTTTCTTTTAATATAACATCTTTTTAAGAAAAATAATATTGATGAGTTAGAAGAATATTTCTCTTTCTTTCCTTCCTAATTTCTATTACTAACATGATGTATTTTCATGATATTATACAAAATATATAAAAACAAATTTTAAGTCCTTCCATAAATGAAACCTGCACTGCAATGGGACGTTCCACATAAGGAAGGACTACAGTATTTGGCCTATGAGGAGACAAAAATCCCAGACTCAGAGAAGTCATCAACTGACCTTGAACATGAAGAATAAAAATTGATTAAGATGAAGAAGAATCACTGAAGGAGAAATAGACGATGGGGAAAAGGGCCTTGCCAAATGAGTCAATGTAAATACACGATGCAATAAAGGAGAGGTTTTTTGCAGAGCAAACGAATGGGCATTTCAAGTGAAGGCTACAGAAGAATAACAAAAAAGGTGAAACTGCAGATGAAAAGATCATTTAGGGAAGAAAATATGAAAGATCCTAAAGAGGATGCAGTTGAACAACAAATGAATGGTACTTTCTATTTCACCAACTTTAAGTGGGAAAAAATTCTCTAACCATATGTATAAACTGACAACAGAAAAACCTAAATAAACTGACAGAATACCCCTTTGTCTAACTAACCTGTTTTGCCCAAACTGCACAACCAGACCTGGAGCTTTTAATTTTTTGTCCAGACTTTCCCTATATCTGATTTTAGCTCTTTAAACCAGTGTGGCACACTTCTCATCTGGTTTATACTTCTGTTGAGGTTTACTTAGAATAGAAAACTTATGATGCCATTAAACATGCTTAAAATCGGTAAGATTGACTTTTGTTATTGCTCCCCCCTATTCATAGCAATCAAATTCTCTAGAGCAAGGGTCTTGGATGTCCATTTGCAAAGACTTGTGAGTTTCAAAAAAATATGCAATACAGAGATATGTTTCAAGCTTTCACAACATGTGGGTAGTGAATCGGAATCACAGACTGGCTCTCAGAAGAGCACAAATTAAAAAGATCTGGGGGCTTCAGTTAGGGAGAGAGATTACTTGAAAGAGGATATTATAGTGACTTATAAAAACAATAGAATCCTTTATTGCTGTTTCTTATAGTGCAAGAGATACCTAATTAAATATTTCTCTCAGAAGATTAAATTAACTAAAGTATTCTTTGCACAACATACAATTACACTATGGGATATTATCCAGACCAAAGCATATATGGTCTATATAAATAACAAAAAAGGTTATTAAACTTTAGTGGCAGCTATCAAATGTGGTGGTCTCACTGCAATCTCCAAATCAGGAGGTCGCTTTAAACCATCAACTAATGGAAGCAAAAGGATATGCTCAGAAGGATCATTATTTACTTGTCCACTTTTTAATACCTTTCCTTAAGCACTTGTTTCTGACCATTGTTTAAGCTATTAAGTGGACTGTAGCTATCCTGATGTTGCCTGGCCTACCACACTGATATATTTAAACAGCACCATAAATGTACAGGGGTACACAATATGCAATAACTATGCCTTAGCTGGAGTGTAGTGATCTCCTACTTCATGCTGAAGGAGCTCAGATCTCCCAGGTCTTCTGCGTGTTCTTCACGCTCCTCATATCGGTGCCATCCCATCCTTGCCATGTAAGGATATGGGGCAGAAATCTTGGAAGTTGGAGGGTGAGGACTCCCACACAATGTGTGTGGGAGCAAGGTGCACTGGGGACCAGTTTAGGGAGTTACAACCCTGACTAGTTACAATCTCACATTAGTAAATCCAGAATCTTTAGTGTGTTTTTCCCACCCCCACTGAGTAATGTACTTCCCTACTAAAGTCTCTTGGATAAACTACCTTGGAGTACAATTCACACAGCTGAACAGTAGTTACAACAACGTACAAAAAGAAAAACAAGCAGAAGGAAATGTTAAATGATAAGGACAAGGGAGCAAAGAGTGTTTTCAACAATACATGAAAACAGACGAAGAGTCAGTGAAGCAGAAATAAAGAAGGACTGTTGGTACAGCAGGAGCTGGAAATGACAGTAAAAATAACAGTATTCTTTCTAATCTCATGAGCCAGGGTATAAATTCCAAAAGCAATAGATTTACAAAAAAAAAGTTGTCTTTATAATTTCGAAGTATCCATAAGGAGTCCTAATGCAAGGGAAAGTATACAGTTAAAAAAAAGCTCAAAAGAGAACCCAGACAGACATATTTGGAAATAAAACATCCCCTCTTATCCCATTTGAACCAAAATTATGAAATAAAGTGGATTATCTACCTGGATGTGTTGTGCAGATATATCAGGGGATGCAAAAAACAGTTGGTTGACACCTGCAGCATCTGGAGTTGCTAGGATAACTTTTCCTGGAGTGGAATCTTGTCTGGCAAGGATCACCTTGCTTGGGGTAGAGCCATCATGATTTGTTAAGATGAACTGCTTGCCTGCTGAGCTCTGATCAAGTGCTGTAACAATCTGAATCTTCTGGCCCGTCTGCTGATCTGTGACAATCTAATAATACATTTATCTCAAATTGTTATGGTAATTTAAGTTCACCTTTAGGGCCCAATTTGGGCACTTGAAGAAAATGGGAATTTTGCCTTTGACATTTGTTAAGCAGGATCTTCTTCCCCTCTGTCACACAAGAGTGAAGTAAACTCAGGTGAAACCTTGGATTTTCACTGTATTTGAAACACACTTCCATCAGGGGTGTTTGAAGTCAAAACCTGAATTCATACCCGAGTTTTACAAATGGCCCGTGCTTTTACAACACTACTTGAACCTCCCGACAAATTCTAGCATACAGAATTCAATGAAGCTCAGCCCTAGGACCCATCAGGTTATGAGAAATCTTAATTCTTGAATTCACTGCATACCACATGAAGTACTTAGCACCTCCCAGATTTGGCTGCTTAACAAGAAACTTCTTAGAAACACAAATGTAGACTTCCAAGTGAAAAAAGTAAGCATCAAACAGCAAGAAAAGCAATAATCTTGTTGCACCTGTGTACACATTTTAGGCTTAATTTTTTTTGGTCTTTTTTTACACATATAGTCCTAAATAAAATAAATAAAACAGAATCTCTCTCCCTGCCATTTTTTCTTTTTTTTTTTTTAAAGGAAAAACTTACTTTTCTGGTTCATTTAATAATCAAGAACAGATCTACAGACTGGTTTTTTTTTTCATTTTATCCCTATTTTAAAGCACAAATACAGCAGAACTTTATTTGATAATCCATTGAAACTCCATTTTTGCCAGCTTTGTCAGAAGATTATAATCCTCAGCGAAAATAATCAGGATTCCATAATTCTTCCATTATAAATATCACTTTTAGTCCCTTCTTGCCTTTCTCCATCATAATGCCTATATGGAAAACTGCCTGGTTTATTCTGGAGTCTAAGGAGAACCATCCTACAAAGACTGTTTTCTGCAAACTAATTTTGAACTAGAGATCAATAAAATAGTTCCAATTATTTTTTTTTACCTATAACCAAATAGACATGTCCATCTATCCATCCCTAACATTTATATGGTCCTCACTACTGATGAAACGGTTTATTTCATGGCCTAACACTTAAAACTAGTTTCATGCAATTAGGGCAGCAATATTAATTATATTTGCTAGGTGGAGAACAGGGGCACAACTGAATGAGGCATAATTTCACACAAGTCTTTAACAAATTCGCTATTGCACCTTCACAACTAGCTTGTTACTTTCTCTAAATGTTGAATATACTTAAATTTGTGTAAAAAAAACTGTGTATAGCTTATGTTTTGTAAAGACAAGCAGCAAGAGATATAAACTATTGAGTACCTGATTTCAGCAGTTATAAATCAATATTGCCACTTTCAAATATACAGAAATTATGAGTTTCAAAATATACAAAAGGAATCTGTTTCCCTCAGGTGGCCTTTTGCTATTAACATTTTCATGACTCAAATTTAATTTTTTCTCTGCAAAACACAATTAAAAGCTTATTTAAGAGACACGTCCAGATAAGATGATAAAACTCCAGAGGCTAAAGATCCAAGAAAAGAATATAAATTATCGTGAGTTAATGGTTATCAACATGATTAATACAGGGTTTTCCATCGTTTTCTCAGATACCCACATATCTGGGACCACAAATGACTATAGCAGTCCCCTATTTCTCCTTTCTATTCCTTTATGTTGGTTCTTTAGAAGGCAAACTTTCTCGCCCTTTTAATTCCCTTCTGTGCTTAACTTTCTCCTTCCATTCTGTTTTTCTTCATTTTACAATCTTTATTTTTCCTGTCATTTCTGGCTATTTTCAAAGTAGCTGATGTTCACTTCCCCTTCTCTCCAAACCCATCTACTTTACTGGGATCAGGAGAAATCCAATGGATGTTATCCTCAACAGGGTGCATACATGTGCAAAAGCCAAGCACAGAATATTGTGCTGTTTAGTCTTGAGTTTCCAGGTCTGCTCTTTCAAAGACACTCTTAGCTAAAACCTGTCTCCCTGTCAAAACTTAAAAGCGCAACCACATATACATCAAAAAAGGCATATGCTTGACCTAGTTAGGTTTATACAAAGCATGGTATAAAACTAACTCAAAACCCAGCATGTCCCAAACAGTAAAGATAGAAATTTTAACTAAAGGTGAAATTATTTTTTTGGGTATAGATATATAAGCTAGATTATTTTTTTTTCATATTGTAGTCCAGTTTCATCATTTTAAAAAGGTATGTATTTGTAGATAAATATGGCAGGACAGTAGGCAGAAGAACCATTGCTATTTCACACAATTCATTTCACCTCCTATTTAACAAATAGTGTCCCAATTCTTCAAATGGCTTCCTGCAATTCTAGGAGGACGCCCCCCCGCCCCCACGTAGTTTTCACTACATGATAGAGTAGGTATAGTGTTACGTTAATATCCATACAAAGCTATTCAATCTGCACAAATGGTTTCTGTGGCTGTCAAGCATTTGACAACTGACAGAGAAAGCAGTTTAAACAAATAAGCACAGTCTGCCTGCAGCTGGCCTCTTAGGGCCATGTACCTGCAAAAACTCCACCTAAATTGCAATGGCACTCTGAAAAGTGGAGCAGTCCACCAAAGCACAACAACTTGCAGTACCTAAATATTGAGATAAGAGAAAAAAGTAATCAGAGGGAAAAAGAAAACCACTTATGTTTCTCAAGGGAATCCATCATGGCTCAGTGACAATACATGATGTTTTTTAATTATCTGAAATTCAGTATCGCTAAAGGGATAATGTTATAAAACAGGAATATATTAATTCAGAACTGTCTGCTTAAAAAATACACTTCTCCCATGTATTTCATTTAAGCACCCTGATGACAATGGAGAACAGTACTTTCCTTCATTGCTTTTAAGCCTTGTCCGTTAACAAGTTTTGACTCCCATTTTAACATAATTTCAATAAATTAAATACCTCAATAATTCTGTGTTCCTATTTTGGAAAAAAAAGGAGGTGTCTAAACACAGAAGACTAATCCACTTGTTTATAACAGAGCTGGTTTTGAACAGAAATGTCTAACAACAGCAAATGTGACATTCAACTTTTATCCTAGAGAAATGTTAGCATTACCTAAAAAGGGTGACTAATGAAGTATGTTTTGAACAGTATTTTGTATTTCAAGATTTCATATAATTATTTATGTGCATTTAACAAATAAAGGAAATATACTGAAAGTATAAACTCAAAATGAATTAATTTAACATGTATTTTGAACATTTCTTTGAGATGCATTTGTTCCTACAAACTACGCTTCGCATAAATTCTGCTTTGAGGAACGTTTTCACTACTAAGTTCTCTCTCATATCTAAATAATTATTACTGATATTGGTGACGTTTGTAGACGCCTGTTGCAAGAAGGATGCCATTTGACTGAGTGTTTTTCCACCCCTATCAATAGACAACCACCCCCCCCAAAGCGCTTACCATCTATTTTGAAACAGTAATCAACGAGCGTGGTGAAAAAAGATAAGGGACAAAGTAGCCAGGTTAGAAACAAATGATCTTCCAGCTACATGAGATGATGAAAAACTATATACAATGCCCTGTCCCTAGAAATACAATTCTTCTACGTTCATCACACTTGCAGCAATTACAGCACCTACCCAAAAGTAGTTCTCCTCCCGCAAAACAGGTGACAAACAAGGGTTAGAAGCCTGCCACTGGCTTTGAACCAACAGAACTGTCCTGCTGTTCAACAATAAAGGCTCATGGGTTTGTTATGCCGTCGTCCCACATTCAGACCCTGATGCTGAAATTACATTAAATGGCTTCACACTACAGGACATTATAGCATACAGGTATTGACAATGAAAACACAAGATAAAGAGATGCTGGTTAACTGATTAACATAAATTAGTTAATAAAAGGTACAGCTGCAAACAAAGGATAGAAAAGGAGCGGAGGTAGCTGAAAGAATAAAGATCGACTGGATAGATGAGACTGGTACCATGACTAGAGCACAGGTAGGGGGTGATAAAACAAGAGATCATGTATGGGGGGAGGCTGTGAAGAGTAGGAGGGTTGAAAGCTTGAATGCAATGCACTGAAACAGGAAAAAACAGTGGAAAATATTAACGAGGGAAGCCAGAAAAAGCAGCCAAGATTATACTAGTAGCTGGCTTGCTTAAATAAGAACGTTTTTGTATGCAACAACATATATCTGAGAATACTTTTAAAATTTATTCTACAGTTGATATTTTTCTCTAGGATGAAATCTAAAAATAAAATGTTTTCAAGGACATGCACTGACTTTTAAAGGGGTAAAATACAAAATTTATTCCCCAAATCCTCCTAATCTCCATATACACACATCTATGTTAACTGCCTACATTGCCAAAAACATCCTACTCTCACTTGAATTGAAGATTATTATCTGGCCAAGCTATGAATTAGCATATCAGGACAAATGACACTGGTTGGGACAACCAAAAACCAGTATCCTTCTCAGACATTAGGTCACCTTGCACTTTTTCATTACTTGTATCAATGACACCATGCAGTATTTCCCTCCCACCCTGCTGCAAAATTTTCCAACAATTCAGTTGAATTACCAAATCTAAAAATTATTCAGCTTTTAAAAAGCAGTATCATTACAGTATTGGGAGAAGTCTTTTTCTGTTCAGTGGTTACAATTTTTTTGTAACTCTTAAAATTCTTAGGAGGGGGAATAAAAAAAAGGGGTATGCATTGGAATGATGTTTATTCCTGTTTATATAGAAATTATCTCTGCCACCCAGGGCTGAATATTTACATTCAAGCAAATAATATGACACAAATAAAAAAGAACCATATGTGAAAACTGGCAGAAGTAATAGTTCATTTCTGCTTCTAAAACATATCAGATGAAGCATACCTGTATACGTTGTGGTAAAGAGAGGCCTGAATCTGCAGGGACAATCTGTATTCGTTGTGCTGTCCCATCCATTAGTGTTTGTGTAACAGCTCCCTGGGAATGGGTAATCTAGAAAAAAAGAAATAAATGTAATGGATTGACAATGGATACACTACCTTAAGGATGGATACACTACCTTAACGGACGAAACCTTAAGGTTTCATCAAGTTCTGATTCCTCTGCACAAGGCAATGGGAAGTCTGACACTCTCACTGTATAAGGAATGCAAATGCTTGTAATCTGATTTAATAACTTAAATTTGCTAGTTAGAAAATTCTGTTTGTTTCACTGTTTTACGCCCATTTTGAAATACCTTCCAATCTGAAATTTAGAAACACTTTAAGTAAAACAATTCCTTGTTGACAGGTCCATTAAGTCAATCAGACTGAATATTTATTACTGTTGTTGTTCATGAGACACATACTAAACACAGTACCTTTCATCATAGCTGTGCTACATTTATACTAAAGTATTTTTACAAAAGACAAAAGCATTTTTGGTGTGGAAACAAAGCAATTGGCCTTTTCTGTCCTGTTTCTGTTGTTCTGTTAAAGCAGCGAAACCAGAACAACAGAATTCTGTATTGTGGAACTATCAAGAAACTTAGAGAAAATTAATTAAATGCATGAAGTTGGCAAGCAGTGCATCTTAGAACAAATTTAAATCTTAGTGTGAATGCTCTCAGACACGACTTGTGGAAGTGCTTTAACAATTACCAGTATTTAAAAATTCTTCACATGCTATAGCCAAAGGTATATGGGGGAGGGTATTATTCATTGAATTATTTGTCAATAAAAATCAAGAAGTACAGCTGCTATTTACAGAGGCTTGATCAGAAAGGCAAGACTTTTCATAGTACAAAGTAAGTTTCTCAAACTGAAATTTGTCTTAAATTCCTGAGTAACTCCCTGAACTTTTTGCAGTTCAAAAACTCTGGATCATTGTGCAATTCTGTATTAATAATAATTCTGAGTATTTACCATTATAAAAATGCTTTTCAACTGCCATCTCCCACCATCAAGAATTAATATTGAGAATATATATCTATATCTGCAGTAAAAGGTACTGTTTCATAACAGGTTGAGAGCTTTTTTGTTCCTCCTGGATCAGCTTCCTGATTTTGCAACCATACCACCATGTCAAGGCTAGTACCAGCAGAAGAAAGGAGACAAAAACACAGAGCTGGAGGTGAGTATGAGAAGGGGAAGGAGCAGTGGGTAAGACTTCCCTTCTCCTTACAGCAGAAATACAAGCTCCCATCAGCCTAAAAGCTGATTTTGAAATTTTACCTGAAAATGCACTACTTCTGGTACTAGTCTCAGATCTTACAACCTACTTGCTCCTGTCCCTTCAGTTTGGTAGATAAAACTGGTTGGCTAGTCATTCAGTGATCTGGAATAGGACACTGATGCAGGCTAAAAAGCAGCCCAGCACACAGACAGACAAACAAAAGCTATTCTTAGCCCAGAACAAACCTTCAGCCCAGATCTCCACAATGCTCAGAAGCAGATGCATCAGAGCAAATGAGAGAGTGGGATTAAGCTGCTGGGGGGATTGCTTAAGGTGCCAGCAGCATCAAAAGAAATGCTTGTCAAACTACTGCCCAAGCCATTTTCAAACACTGCTTCCTAAAAATACGGATATTTCACAAGTAAAATACTTTCCATATTCAAGCAATTCATCCACTTCTCTGCTTAAGTAAAGGACAAAGAAGAGTTTATTATACAGCAACATTTAGAGTTTGATACTTTCAAGCACTGAAATTCTGCATCAGCCTTTCAAATGACATATACACGTGGTGATTTACAGGCAATCGTAGTTTTATGTTAATTTATCTTTGCTTTACAAAATAGGCTACATAATCCAGGACTGTGTAAGGTAAAACTGCTCTTCAACCCCACAAAATGTCAACTTGACAGTTTTAATTCAATACAGAATACATTTTTTTATTGCTGTTCAAAAAAAAATTGATAATGATAAGAATAACCACAGTATTTGTTAAAAATTGTATTTTGTATGTGCATGACAGACTCTGTTTTGACATATACAGAGCTTTCCTCTGTTACTGTTACCTGGCAGGAGTGTGGAAACAAACCACCATATACTTAGTGTACCCAATCGCAGATTAAAGAAAGAAGATTGCTGCAGGGTCTTAACAGACAACTTTCCTACATCAATCAAGGAATGTGATCTTGATGTAGAAATATTATCTCACACTCAGCAAAACATGATGAGCAGTTGGCAGAATTTGAGAAAAGATAAATATTGTGCAATATTCCACATAAGCAAGGCTATAAATTCTTTTTAAGTTTTGCTTTTATGCAACCCTCACCCCCACATTAACAAAAACACATTTGTGAACATCATCATAAAATCATTTGTGATAATTTTGTGTTTTAAAATGCTTCATGAACAAGAATTAATATTATAAAGAAGTAAAAACCTATGGCACAGAACACTTCTGATCATTATCTCAATGAGACACAGGAGCACCTTCCATTCTCCTTAGAATGGGAACACTTGTCTTTTTCCTTTCATGTTCTACTCATGTAAATTCTTCTTGTAAATTCAATTAAAATCACTTCAACATTCAAGAGAATTACAAATGCTAGCAAAAATACTGTTGAACTTCCATAGGCCTTAAACTGTGGTTTTCAATGCTTACACTGAATAGGAACATGACAAAACAATTATAGCTGGTAGGTCACAGGTAGGTAGGAATGTAAGATATTACATGAAGGTCCCTGTAAAACCACTTTCCTCGCTGACTCTACCTTTCAGGCAGCGCACTCATGCATGGCGTGCACCTTTGACAGTAATTTTGGCTTACAGAGTCCCACCTTGTACTGCCCTGGGTGATGCTTTTCAGTCCTTCTAACCATGTGCCAGGTTGGGTTGCACCTTATACTAGATAAGGGAACTGACACCAACTGTGAGGGAGAAGACCCTCCTCCACTATCCTGTAATTTTTTTTTTCCATTTTGTCCACCACATGAACACACAGAGAGCTTACACGAGCGAGACTAGCACTGCCTGAGAATAAGTGGCTAGGTGAGGACTGAGGAATGCTTAAGCCGCACTGCTGCCAAGTAAGACATGTCGGTCTCAGGCACAGTAAAACCTTGCTAAAGGACAAATCCTAATTTGCACTGCTGACAGAATGATATCCATGAAAACTGTAAAGCTGTAGTTTCACCATGAACAGAAACAGCCAACACCTCTCTTCAGTGTTGCACCTCCGCTCCCTCTGTCTTCTCCCCTGCCTGCCTTTGGCTACCAGCCATCTCCTTTACACTGGCTCTGGTACCCATTACAACCTTCTCAGACCCTACTCCACACATTAACCCGGCAGAAAACATTCTGCTGGTTTTGGCTGGGTTAGCTTGCTGCCAGTGTGGAAATTAAATAAGGTAAGAAACAGAAAAAGGTCCTTCCCTCTCCCGTCGCACTGAGATACTAAGTCAGGTCAGTGTCTCATAGAATCACATTACAAAATTGAGAATCAACCCTTACAGAGGCTAAAAACCATCATCACACCACCCTCTTTTCTGAGTGAAACATACACTTCAGTTAGCTTTCACTAGCCTGTACTTTCAAGAAAAAAAAAAAAATTCAACAGGAAATACAGCACTATTTAGACCTCCACAAGGAATTATATTACCAAAACAAAACTACACTAAACACCATTTTCACCTATAAAGAGGACAAGTGAGAAAAAGAAAACACCACACATCACATAAATCACTTCTGTCCTTTGAGATAGCCTTAGCAACACTCAGATGCTACAACAATGAAAGCTATAAGAATTTATACAGGATAGAATTAATCATCCCACCCACCCCCAACCTTTCTATTTGAAACAAAGACTGAGAGGAACTAAAGTTACTTGAAAAGTAAGTCTCTGTCTAGACAAGAAACCAAGAGTGGATATTTCAAGCTAAAGAATACCATTTAAGATAAATAAGATACTGCTTCTATCTAATTTAAAGTGCTGTTAATTTCAAACAGACTATACTCTGATGAAACTTTCCAGGCAAACATGTATACTCTTATCCACACTCCCAAACTATCTGTGTGTCTCTGAGGTTCTCTGGCTGCAGTACACAGGTTCTGCACACAGGTTACAGAAAATGAAAACCAGAAGTTAGCAGCAACAAGAGTTCAATCTTCTTTTTGACTCATACCAAACACCAACATATATTTTATGAGTGAAGAGCATGGCAAACCTTTACTCATGAAAACAAAAATGACAACTGAAGCAATTGCTTAAATGGAAAGTAAAAGCTATGTACTGACAACTCTCTTGACTGTAAATTTTGTAAGTGAAACTGAGCAAAGCAATCCTACAATCAGAGGGCTCTCTGAAGACCATTACAGGCCCCAAAAGCAGAGCTGAACGGCTAGTCACTTACTGGAAACACTGCTTAGCTTCATTTCTGCGGTGCAAACTTTGGCAAAAAAGACTTTACAGCATAACTTTGAAACAGATATAATAAGTTCTTCTAGTCTTCCATGGGAGAGTCTCCTGAAGCTTTGGGTGAACTAAAAATTATTTTGTCTTGTGATTTTGGTTTTTACCTATCAGTCTGGGCGTTTTATTATTCAATGTCTCTTAAACAGGACTCAAAATTTATGTACCTCTCCCATTTGCTGTTCAATAATTTGGTGGGCCAGTTCCTCTATGGCTGCCATGATCTTTAGTCACCAGAATTTCCTGTCAAAGAAAGGAAAGAAGATGCTTAACATCTACAGCCTCAATAGTAAAAATATCTCGGGGAAAATACAGTTCACATAAGTAAAATATGTTTATAGTTGTCTGAAGGCGACATCCCTGCAGAATTTGATGTTTGATTATACTATAAAAATAATAATTTATTTTCATTTTCTAAACTTCTGTATCTTTTTACACTAATAACTCACACAGAGGCTTCCTACTTTTCCCCTTCTGCATCATAAACTCCCTGTGAGAACAGAAATTTATTACTGACCATGACATCACCAGGGACATAATTAACATCTTAAAAACTGGAAGAATGCCAATTTTGTTAATGCAAATCAAGGGGGGTGGGGTGGAGGGGAATGTATCTTCTTCTGAACCCATACTGATTTTTTAAGTATTAACAGGAGTGTTTGAAGGTCGATTTTGTAATTAATAGGAGGCACTACATGGGAAGCAGAAAATGCATGTTTAAAAAACAGATGTTGTTTTGTCATCAATACTGTAGTTACAGTGTAAGAAGTCAAAATCTCCCTAAGAAGAATTTTGTAGGATTTAACAGACACTACTACATTAATGCAGTATGAAGTATTTAAGATGTATGCCTTGTTTGTTTGGGTATCAATTTACAAATATTCACTAGGCAGTACTTAAAAGGAACATACACAAATTACAACGATGAATAAACACTTAATTTTCCTTACAAGAGCTGTATTAAAACCACTGTCATAACTACTTCTTCTATGAACCAAGGCAGCACTCTTACCCTAAACAATTTGTCCATATACTAAATTTGCTTTGGTTCAACTATACAAGGTACACAGGGTATACAGCCTTCTCATTGCAGGCAAAGTCATAAAGATGTTTAATACCAACACACATTTTCTTGTATGAACACAAGAACAAGTGCTATCACTATAAAGGATTTTTGATACAGTATAAAAGATTTATTTATTTATTTAGTGAACAGAAATGGTGCTGTGTAACCATACAAGAAGTCAGAATGCTAATGAAAGTAGTTGGATAGGTAGAAAAGCTGTATATATAGCTAGCTGGTTTTCACTCTTTAACTTTCCTAGAACTTCTAGGAGCTGTCTCCTGCCCCAGTGATCTCTAAACTTTCCCAATCAACTATGCAAATAAAAACATAACTAATTTTGAAGCTCATTCTGCTCTTATAATTGGAAAGAGAGATCTCTTTTGACTAGGGCAACAACTGCAGGCCTTGGGAAGTGTGCACAGCAGTACACTAAACCCTGATCAATGCGTGGAAGGGAAGACTATAGAAATATTTGGGAACTGTAGAACATTCTTAATCACCCACCAGCATGCTGCATTTTTAGTTAAATCAAGACAAAAGATGACAGGAACATACATAAAACATATGCGACTGAGGTTTATGTTGAAAAGCATTATCTCCTTAGAAGATCTAATAAATGCCAGCACCCTTGCAGGAGTACTCTATTAAACTCACTTCTGCATGCAGTGAGCTGCAGCACAACCGCTATAGAAAAAGAGAACTTCCAAGTCAGCCAACACATTCTATCAGATGTTTTCTTCTTTTAAATAAAATACTTACTAGCAACAAAATATTGCATTGTTTACACACACAGTGCCAGAAATTAGTACTATGTCATTAAAAAAAAAGCTAAAAGTAAAAGCTTAACATCTTAAAAACAAATTGGAGAACTATTTAGTAGGACAGACACACTTTTGGGTAAGAGAGATGCACGCTTTGCAAAGAATTATTTCAGAGGAAGATCTTACTGCTTCATGACAATTTGACATACCAGAAATACTATGCATATGATGACATTTTGCAAAAAATTAAGAGTAAACTAAGATGCTGAAATTCTAGTCTGACTGCAAAGCTGATCTCGCTTTGAGTGGGGTTTTGGACTAGAGACCTCCTGATGTTCCTGCCCTTTCCTTATCTACAGGAACAAGAGTTGCTTGCAGTTACAAAAAAATCCCCAACATTTGGAAAGCAGTTTGATTTGCAAAAAATTTGACTGACTCCATATAGGTCTACTGGGCAGATATTTTCAAGGACACAATAAACTATTATCTAATTCTAAAGTTTTACTTCACTGAATGTCTAGTTTAAAGAGATATGCACAAGAAAGCTTATTTTGAGCAGTTTTAACCTATTTTATGGAGAATATATGTTCCCCTAGGTCAGCCTTTTGAAACAGCAGTAACATCTTCCATTCTGCAATCTCTGTCTCTAGCATTTTCTACATTATTTTCCCAGAAGAAAACAGACTACATCAGTATCATTTTTCCATCAGAAAAGCCAGGTCTATAATCCTTCCCGTAACAAAGTATGATTACGACCTTCTCAATTTTAGTCATACTTACTAACAGAGCTACTACAGCTACTTTAACTTTATTTTATGCTTTTCTAAAACTCCTAGTGTTTCGGCCTGCAGAATTAGCATGTTCCAACAAGAACACTGAATACTAATTATTACTGCTATAGCTGTGTTGCACCAACTCAGCAGCACATGGAAATGAACAATACAGTACAGTGAAAAGAAAAGCTTAATTTATTGTTCATCTAGTAAAACCTTGCAGTCAAATACTGAACTTGCACAGGAGGCAAAATCTGGAAAGTAACTTTTACAGAAGTTGTCTCAGACACGAAGAATTAAACAATCCCTACCTATCATATCTGTGGCACTGCAAAATTGTAATTAAAGACTCTCTTTAATTGTTCTGTCATACAATTACTTTAAATTAACATATCAACACATTAAATTTTTGCCACAAACTCAGTAAATGAAAGATGGAGAGATCTGATTTTTCCAAGCCTCCGCGAGTACTTTGTCCACAGTCTTAACAAGGAAGAAAGGTCTTTTCTTTTTAGTGTTGCAGACTCATTACTACCTTATTCAAAACAATTCTGTCACCAAAAGGGCTAGCCCTAATCTCTCTCTTGGCATGAGTTTCCAACCTGGCAACCCTGCTGTCAGCACTGGTACATTTCTGACTTCACAGCCAGCAGCAAAGTTTTATTTTTGTCAGTGTTAGTTCTCAGCCCAAGGAATGACTTGCACTTGCTGTATTACCATGCAAACGCTACCGCTGTACCAGTGGTGGAAGGGAACTGTAGATCACACCTTTCCACAGCAGCAGACATTTACATCATCTTAAGCCATCTGAAATCTCCCATACTTTTCCACAGCTCTATAAATTGTTGCAAGATGAGCCTTGGAGCTTAGACACACTTATTTTTGGATCTTACAGATGAACCTGGTGAAGAAACAAGAAACAGAGGATGAAAAAAAAGCAACATACAGCCACAAGACAAAACAGGCAACACTTAATAAGGTGAAGTGGCCTAGCGGAGACTTCTGGTCCATAACCTAAAGCACTGTACAAGTAGGAGACTAACAGGGATCTATTGTCTTGCCTCATGCCCTATTTCTAGGAAGGATATTCTTTGCTAATGGTGAGAACCTCAATAGTCAAAGCTACTTTTAAAAACAATACAAGGAAAGCAGCGCAGCTCAGTTTCACACACATGAGCTTAGTGATAGCTAAACTTCGTTTTCTCTAGTAGAAATACTCTTCAGCACAGACTTTTCAACCTCTTAGTAGTTAGCCATCCAAGTTAAGAGATACTGACCTTTTCAAGTCCCAACACAGAACTAAATGGTGTCTCATCTCTGAGACCTTGGACTTTGTGTTCTTTGCCATACTGCCAAATCCCCACCAAGAGCATGGGGAGAATTTGTACTGGTCATGGCAGAATCCTGTACTGGTGCTAACAACTGCCTGTAACAAGATCTCTCTCGGGAGCAAGACGAATAGCCATGAGAGGGAACAGGTTATTTCTACATTATTAATGCAGTGTTATCAAACAGCACTAATAAAATATTGAAAATACTCAGCTCTCTCAAATCCAGAATTGCCATAGCCATCGTTTCTTCTGGCTTTTAGGAGCCATCTAAGTATACTCTGTTTTACTCTTATGAGCAGTGGAAGAGAAGTTCTCTAAAAGAGGAAAAAATAGGAAGAAATTTGGAACAGAACAGAGTGCTACTCAATCACAACCTCCAAGATGAGTACTGAGTTGTAGCAATACAGTCTAAATGCCCCCAAAATAAACAAAATTAAAGAAAAGCCAAAGGGCAGTAGTAAGCAAATCCTTTGACAAACTGTTTAGAATCAAACTAATGATGACCATTAAATAAAACCCCAATGAAAGTACAATGGACTTTGAAAGCCTCATGATTAATATTTCCTAAACAAGTGATGCTCCTATCCTTCCCCAATCACAAAAATTTTACTGATCAAAAAGATTTTCTTTGGAATGGGATTCTTGGAACCAAGAGGGAGAAATCTACATTTACAAGAGTTTTCAAACCCAGCTATTTCTGAATTTGAAGAATGTCACCTCTCCATTCAAAGTACCTTCAAGGAGGTTTTTCTCAACTACTATAATTTTTAGAGCATGACTTGTAAATGGCACAGCTCTCAGAAAAAAAAAAAAAAAAGTCCCTCAAAAAAGCATAACAAACAGTTCAGTGTCCATCATTGAGGGTCTCAACCACCACATAAGGACAGCTTTTAAGAATGATGATTTTAATGTTAGTGTTTCACTGTACGCCTGACAGTTCATCTTAGAAAAAAAAAATTATTCTCATTTACCTACAAGTAGTTAACAATAAAAATTGAAAAAATAAGAGGGGAACTCATCTTGAAACTGCACAAATTCTTGATTATAGTAATGAATTCACCAGCTATGAGCTTGAAGTATGAAACCCATACATCCCAATCCTGTTGAGACACAGAAACCTCAAACCAAACCAAAAGCTTTTCAACTGCTCATCCACAGTTGCTCTGTCCTGCTAGTTAGACCATCCTGCAGCTCAGAGGCACGCTCCTGCAGCATTGTCTCGGCAGGAAACAAAAAGACCAACCTTCAGAATCAAGAGGTGTGTGCTTTAAGGAATTACTTTGCACCTGCTAGTTAGTTCTCTTAAACCAGA